GGTGGTTATTCCGTCTGGTGTTGGGAATTTCACGCATTGGTGATAGGTGGAGGCTACTGCCTTCATCTTATGGATCCAAGGTCTTCCTAGGATCGCATGAAATGGAGAGGGCCTGTCGATGACTACAAAATTGGTCATTTTCATGATTCCTCCAGCTATAACCGGGAGCTTGATGGTTCCCAAGGAGGTAACTGTTTCCCCGGAAAAACCAACAAGGTTAGCTTTCTGACCGATAATTTCATAGTCGTCTATTTCCATCCCTTTCAGGGCATTATAGAAGATTAGATCGACTGAGCTTCCGGTATCAACCATCAGCTTAGGCACCTCGTGACCTGCTATGTTCAGGGTGACGATTAAAGCGTCATCGTGAGGTCTGTCGAGGTCTGACGTCTCGCTCTCCCAGAAAGAGATCTTGGTATTGGTTTCGGGACTGGGAGGCTTAGATTGAGCTTTAGAAACAGCCTTCCGCACATGGCTCTTGATCGAGTTGACTGAGTCTTGACATATATCGGAGCCTCCGAGGATATAATCCACTCTTGAGCTATGGCTCAACTGAGGTGGGGGTTTGCTTAGGAGGGTCTCGATTTGTAGACTCTTCCCTTGGGGAAATTTCCCAAGAATCATGTCAACTCTTTTCTTGGGAGCCGGGGGTGGCAAATCTGTTTCCTTTTCAGGAGATCTTTCACGTTTTGGGGAGGTGTCTCTGGGACCTCTTTTCTGGTAAGGAGGTGGCTTCTTTAGTTCCACGTCCTTTAGTTCGCCAGCTACGGATTTAGCTGCCAACTGTCGTTGGAGGTCCCAGCACTCCTCGGTTGAGTGCCCTTTTCGATCGTGATAAGAGCAGTGTTTGTTCTCATCGTAGCCTTTTGTCCAGGGGGTTTTGCTTGTCGCAGCAACAGGTTTTTCCTGTTCGACTTCGTCGACAGCATACGAATGCTCTCCTTGGGTCTGATGGTTCCGAGAACTCCCTTTTCTAGAGGGTCCTTTTGTTTCCGAGGTTTCATCTTTCGGGTGATTCTGGGATTTCTTATGGATTTTATCCAGTGCAGCTGTTTCTTCCTCCAAGGTAATGTATCTCGATGCTTTGTGAAGAGCATCATCGATAGTTGGAGGAGGGTTAAGTGTTAGCTCGGACCAGAATTCTGATTTATACCAGAGGCCTCTCCTAAGGGCTTCGATAGCCACTTGATCGTTAGGGTTCGAGAGCTTAGTTCCAACTGCTCTGAACTTCTCGATGTAGATTCGTAGCGAATCCCCCATTCCTTGCCTGATCTTCTAGAGGTCAGCCTCGGAGGCTTGCTTAAGGATATGGGTCGAGTATTGTTTCATGAAGGCGTTAGTGAGCTGATCGAAGCTATCGATTGAATTCGGCTCGAGGCTTGAAAACCATTCGAGAGCTGTTCCGACTAGGTTCTCAGCAAAGGTCCTGCAATAACCTGCTTCGCATTCTTCTCTTGTGAAATGAGCTTTCACTATAGCTAAGCGGAAGGCTCTCAAATGAGCCTTGGGGTCTGAGGTCCCGTCATATTCGGGAATCCTAATTTTTTGGGTATCCCTTAGGTAAGAGCTAGCGATTTTATCTGTGAATGGGGTTCCACGGGTTTCCTCAATCAAGCTCTCGATTTTGGGAGCTGAGCTTGTTGCTTTATGCACTTGAGCGTTCAGCTTCTGGGGAGCTGCGTGAGTTTGCTCCATGTATCGGCGAATAGCCTCGGGTCCTTCTAGGGGGAGGACAGTTGGGTCTTCGCGAGGGATCTGATGAGAGGATTCTCGATGGGGTCGAGTGTCGTCGTTATCCCAAGCGTTAGGAGGGCTAAATCGCTTGTTAGCTCTAGAGCCACCTTGAGGGACGCGACCTGGGGGGTGAGCTGCAGGATCAGCTTCCGCCCTTGGGTTATCTCGATTAGGGGTTACATTCCCAGTCCGATAAGCCGAAGCAGATGTTCTGCCCCCAGAAGGAAAGGATATTCCTTCTCCTGACCTGAAAACAGGTGGAGGAGGGGGCAAGCGTGTGCTCTGGTCAGTAACCTGATCGAGCATAGAG